TGTCCTCAGGTGAGGATTTTTTTTTTTTTTAAATGTCAGTCTTAACGGCTATTAAAAACACACAAGAGCTGAGACCGATTTGGCTCAATGGATAGAGCGTCGGCTTGGGGACTGAAAGGACCCAGGTTCAATTCCGGTCAAAGGCATATACCTTGGTTGCGGGCATATCCCCAGTGTGGGGTGTGCAAGAGGCAGCTATCCCCAGTGGGGGGTGTGCAAGAGGCAGCTGATCGATGACTCTCTCTCATCGATGTTTCTAGCTTTCAATCTCTCTCCCTTCCTCTCTGTACAAAATCAATAAAATATATTCAAACAAACAAACAAAAAAAACCACTTCAGAGTCAGGTAGAATATAGGTTTTGCTGACATTACCCACAATCAGGTAAAAGCATATATTTGTCTTGTAATTTGTTCTGACACATGCAGTGGTAAGAAACATTAAAAACATTTGGATGTTGCCTAGCTGGTGTGGCTCAATGTTTGAGCATCAACCAAAAGGTCATGGTTTGATTCCCAGTCATGGCACTGCCCGGGTTTTGAACTCAATCCCCCATGGAGGACGTGTAGAAGGCAGCTGATCAATGATTTTCATCATTGATGTTTCGCTCTCTCCCTCTCTCTTCCTCTCTGAAATCAATAATATGTGTGTGTGTGTGTGTGTGTGTGTGTGCGCGCACATGTATGTACATATATACCAATTTGAAAAATTTCTGTATGTTCATTGATTTGATATCTCGCTCTAATTACTTCCTGATTCATTCATGGCTTCTGGATATCTGAGCAGAGGAAATCCTGGATCAGGCGAATTCACTGATTCTACAGGTGAGTAGAATCTCAATTCAGATCTAACCACATGTGCAGAGTGCCTACCCTGTACCAGAATGCATTCATGGTTGAGATTTCATTCAGTCACTCCAGATGATTGAATCAGCTCTAAAAACTTAAAATGATTTTACTTGACATGAGATTAATGTTGCCTGAGACCCAGCACTATAAAATAATTCTTTTTCTAGCATAGTCATTTATTACAGTTAAAAGGAAATGTTATATTAAACATTTGGATATTCTCCATGCTTCTTGTGTAAGTGAACAAATTGATACTTCTTTCAATATGATAAAATCCTAGAACTTAAATGCTTTCTTTTGTAAGTATTATCTATACTAATAATCGAGGAATATGCAAATTATCCACAATGCCATCATGTTACGATTAATCAGGATGGGATGGGGCTGCGGCAAAGAGCTCTCAGCATGCCTGCACCAGGGGTTGGAAGGGCACAGAGAGGAAGGGACAGCAGGTAGGCAGGACGATCAGGCAAGGAAAGAAAAGCAGATAGGCAGTTAGGGCGATCAGGCCAGGAGGGGAGCACACAAAGGCAGTTAGGACAACCAGGCCAGGAGGGGAGAGCAGATAGGCAGTTAGGGGGATAGGCCAGGAGGGGAGAGAAGTTAGGAGGATCAGGCCAGCAAGGGAGAGCAGTTAGGGGGATCAGGCCAACAAGGGAAAGCAGTTAGGGGCATCAGGCAGGCAGGTGAGCGGTTAGGAGCCAGTGGTTCTGGGTTGCAAGAGGGATCCCAGATTGGAGAGGGTACAGACTGGGCTGAAGGACCATCCCTCACCCCCGTGCAAGAATTTCGTGCACTCGGCCTCTAGTCATTGATAATAATTCTAGTAATAGTAAAAATTTAAATATTGTGGCGATCAGCTACAGTGTTTGGACAGGCTCATGCCTCTGAATGACTTGTGGCAAAGCCACATACAAGTCCCAGCTTGGAGGGCAAAACCCTCCCAGCACAATTATAGCCAAAAAGCTATGGTTGTAAGCTTGACCTTACAGTTCAACCTTGCAGACCTAGGTAGCTAAGAAATGTATGGGCGACGGGGAGTGCAGCAAGTGCTGCCTAAAGATTGAAAGAGTTCAGCTTTCATGCTGTGTCACTGTTTCCTCATCCAGGCAGTGATCTACCTGGTCCTCTTGTCTGTTTTCTTTAATTCTTCACCACCCCTCCTCAGGTTCACCCCTGGCCATGCTGGACACGGTTCAAAATATACAAGAACTAGAGGGTACCTAGCCCTGGCCAGCAATCAGGGCCAATCAGGTTCCCCGCCTTCCTGCCTCCTCCTTCCCTTGCCACCTACACACCAACACTGCATGGTTCCCCCCAGCTCCCCACCTCCTTCTTCTCTCCCTCGGCGCCCTGCTACCACCGCTGGTCGCCCACCATGTTCTTCACTGCCCCCAGTGGTCAGCGCACAACATAACAAGTGGTCGAACATCCGTTTTCCCAATTGAACTCCCAAGGGGATACTTTACATATTAGCCTTTTATATAGAGAGACTAGAGGCCTGGTGCATGAAAATCGCCTGCACCCTCTCTCAGTCCAGGAGCCCTCAGGGGATGTCCGACTGATGATTTAGGCCCGATACCCCCAGGGAGTGGGCCTAAGGCGTAAGTTGGACATTCTTATGCTGCCACAGAGATTCCCACCACTGCTACTGTGCTTGCCAGCCATGAGCCCGACTTCTGGCTGAGAGGTGCTCCCCCTGTGGGAGCACACTGACCACCAGGGGGCAGCTTCTGCAGTTAGCATCAGCCACCTGGTGGTCAGGGCATGTCATAGCAACCAATTGTTCCACCGTTCAGTCGATTTGCATATTACCCTTTTATTTTATAGGATGGTTCAAAACAAAAATAGTCCTGGATCTTACTAGTCTCTAGTACTAGTTTATTTTTAAAGATTGAACAAACAATTTTACATTTCTACTTCATTTCTCTTTTAAATATGGAAAAGATTTTCTATAGAATTTGATAAATTATAGATTGTTTGAAAACCCTAGGTACAAGGTGCTGTATAAGTTTGAAGTGATAACTGCTGAAAGTATACCCTAGAGCAAACAGGTTTAGGTTGAAAAATAATACATAAGGTGATCATAAGGAACATATAGCCTCATTGGACTTAAAACAAAAATACTCTTTTTCCCAGGAATGCTAAATATTTAAGAACTGTACTTTTAACAGCAAATATTGGTCTTTATAATTCTTCAAGAGAAAATTAAAACAGGCATTTGTATGTGATTCTCATGTATTGACTCCCCAATGGCAGACAAATTATTACTAGTATTTGGATCTGAACCTATCAAGACATCAAATGTTAATTAGGTCCCTTGTGTTCCTGTTAGAAAGCAGAGAACATAGCTCAAAAATAGTCTCAAGGTCTTGCAGTGAAGTTAAAAGAAAAATAAACATTGGTAAACCAATTTAAAATGTAAAACAAAATTCAGTTACAAACCTTTACTGCATATTTTAATGTTTTATGATTTGGGCTTCAAATCTTGGCAGTAATTGTAAAATTGCTAATATGTGGTATGTAACATTATTTATACTAGGTTAGGTATAGTTATATGGAGAAAAAATCAGGATATTTTAAATGAGATGAAGATTCCTTGGTAAATGTGAAAGGAGGTTTTTTTTATTTTATTTTGTTTTTTGGCTTATTGAAGAAATGGAAACAAAAAGACTAATGAGTTAGAAGAGTTTGCCAATAGACTTGAAAGAGGTAAAGGCACGAAAGGAAATTAGAAAGATGATAAAATTGGCATATGCTTCTTCACAGATTTATTAAAGGCTTTTAAAAAGAAAAACTGATATGATATCCAAGAGGAAATTTTAGTAGTTTTATATGCACAGAGGATAGGAAAAGCTGAAAGCCTTAAGTTGCTAACAACTTAAATGGAGAATAAAGATAATAAGACACTGAAAAAGGAATGGATCCTGAAAGTGTTAAGGGCTTACTGTAAAAAACCGTCCTAAGGTCTATTGAGTAATATCAATAACCAAAGAGCCCAGAACTTCAAAATATAACCACTCTTATGCTGTCCCATTAATTTTGCCACTTCCTAGCCTCTTGCTACCTTTTTTGGACACTAAAACATTTGTTTGTTTCTTCTTTTTTTTTTCTTTTTTTTCCCCCCCTAACCCACACTCCATTAGAATGTAAACTCCATTAGGTTAAGAATTTTCCTGTCTCTTTGGTAGATGTAGAGCTGTGTCCTCAGCACCTGCAATAGTGTTTAATAAATGAATTTTAGATCTAGCCTCCAGTGTCTTGATATACAGCCTCTGAGTTGATAGTTAGGATCAATAAATGAAAATAAAATGATCTTAAATTTGTTAAGGATCTCAGAGGTCATGCAGCACACTGTTTCTTTACTACCTATCTGTGGGTCATTGAGGAAGATTTTTTCCTACTCTGAATCTTGCCTCAGTCTTAGAAATGACAATGGTGATGTAGTGCTTTTCTCCTCTGTTTCTCTCACTTTGGGGATCCAATATCCCATCTAATGCAGAATTCCTTATATAACATACGATTCCATTATACCCTTCTAGGAGTAGAAAACACACTGTTTGTGAGTGTGTGTATGTGTTTGTGTGTGTGTATGTGTGTGTGTGTGTGTGTGTTCCAACAAATATTTAGTAAACAACTATTATGTCCTAGGCTAAGGATATAACATGATAGATATGTTCCAGCCCTCATAGGGCTTACAGCCTGGTGGGATTTTACAAACAACAAATGAAGTTTCTAAATTCTTTCCTATCCTCTCTACTCTCAAAGCTCCTTGGTGTGGCTCAGTTGGTTGAGTGTTGTCGTCCATGCACCCAAGAGTTTCCAGTTCAATTTCAGCATGCCTGGGTTGTGGGCTCTGTCTGGGTAGGGGGCATGCAGGAGGCAACCAATTGCTGTTTCTCACATTAATGTTTCTCTTGCTCTCTCCATCTCTCTGACTCTCCCTCTAAAATCAATAAAAACATTAAAAAAAAAAAAAAAAAAAAAAGCTCCTTTGAAAGAAAATGAAGAAGGAGGAGGAGGAGGAGAAGGAGAAGGAGGAGGAGGAGGGGGAGAGGGAGGAGGAGGAGGAGGAGGAGGGGGAGGAGGAGGAGGAGGAGGAGGAGGAGGAGGAGAAGAAGAAGAAGAAGAAGAAGAAGAAGAAGAAGAAGAAGAAGAAGAAGAAGAAGAAATAAAGAACAATGGGAGTTAAACTTCTAATAGACTATATTAAGGGTAAATAACCACCTTTTTGTTTTCAGGACCTTTCAATTCCATTCAATTCAGTCAACAAACAATATGCTGAGCATTTCTAGCCCTTGGTTAGATCTGAGGAATGAAAGCAGTTAAGATACAGCCTTTACTCAGAGGGGGGAAAATGCCATTGTACAAAAGTACCCTTCAGTATGGTAAGTGCTACCTGTAGCTCTTTTGAATGACCCATTCCATTGGACAGCCCTTGCTAATTTAAAGTCCTTTTTTTGGACTAAACTAAAATCTGTCTTTATTTAATTTCTCTTGATTGGTCCCAGTTTTGTCCTCTTCATTTACTTAACCCATAAACACCAATTGTATTTGTGTACCATACATCCACCCAGCTCTCTTCATAGACAAATAGGACATGATCCTTGCCCTCAGAAAGGTTAGTATATAATTCTGCAACGTTGAGGAAGTTGTTTAACCTTTCTAAATTCATTTCCCTCCCCTAGGAGTCAAGGATAGTATTTAGTACCTACTTCCTAGAATTGTTTTGAGGATTAAGTGAATATTAAAGGATTAATGAATATTAAAGGCCTGATATACAGCTTTCAACAAATTCTAGCTATTATTATATCCCTGTGTTTAAAGAGGGATCCTGGCTCATAAATTAGCATTTGTAGGGTTGATATGAATGCCCTAAAATAAGTAAACACAGAGTGCTATGGGAGTATACCAGAGAAACACCTAATCTTAGCTAAAGAGGATAAGGGAACACCCTACAGGAAGAAACATCTGAACTCAGTGGTGCAGGACTAAACAGTGGGGTTGGAAAGGGCACACCTAACTCCAGGGACAGAGGTGAGAGCCAGGAAGATTCAGGCTACTTCAGTTGTTCAGACTGGCTACTTTCAGGAAAGTTAAAATACAAATGGCCTTGGATGCCATGGTAAGTAAAGATGAATCATGAAGGTAATGGGGAACTAGTGAAAGCATGCTGCACAATTTACTTTCAACTTGGTAACATCTCTGGCAGCAGTAAAGATAAAGTGGGCAAGAGTAGGTAGGAAAACCAGTTAGGATGCTATTTCTGTGTTACTATTGAGAAATATCTTAAATAAGGCAGTGATAGAGGGGAGAAGAAAACTGTTTCAAAAGTGAATAAGAGCCCAATAACCAATTAAATGTAAATGTAGGAAGTAAGAAAGAGGAGGTGTTAAAGGTCATTCTTAAAAGGTTACCTTGAATGAGTGAAAGGTGATGACATTGGTTCATAGGAAGCATGGGTGACAGGGGGGGCGGGGAGGGTGGCAAGTAAGTTCAACTATAGACATGTTGAGTTTGAAAAAGGCTAGGTTTTGCCCTACCCGGTTTGTCTCAGTGGATAGAGCATTGGCCTGTGGACTGAAGGGCCCCAGGTTCAATTCTGATCAAGGGCACATGCCTGGGTTGCAGGCTTAATCCCCAGTGGGAGGCGTGCAAGAGGCAGAGGATCAATGATTCTCTCTCATCATTGATGATTCTATCTCTCCCTTCCTTTCTGAAATTAAGAAAATAAATAAAAAATGTATTAAAAAGAAAAAGGCTAGGCACTTGACCATTCATATCAGGAGTTTGGAACTGGTCTGGGGCTGCAGATTTGGGATTTGTGGACAGGTGTTAATTGAAGCCTCCATGTAAATGTGTAGTGGAGGGCCAACATTAAGGGGTGAGTGAAGACCTCATAATGTTGATTGAGAGCAAATATGTTAGAGAAAAATTGAGAAATAACACTATCCCAGAAACAGAGATCTTTAAGTCAACAGTCACAAATGCTCCAGTGATAAAATTGTTCTTTGGATTAAGCAACTTGGAAGTCATTGGGCAAGAGCTGTTTCAGAGTAGTGAAGGGACCAGAATCTAGATTGCCAGAGATTGTGGAGTTGAGATAGGAAGTGGGTGAAGAAGACATGCCTGGAGGCTCCCTCTTGAGGAGCTGTTGAAGAAGGAAAGATATTGTAGAAGCTAGAGTGGGAAGGCTGGATTGAGGAGAGTTGACCTTTTCTTTGTCCACATAAAACAGGGTGGAGAAAGGGAAAGTTGAAGATTAGAATAGATAAAAGTAAATAATAAAAGAGGATTCCTGAGAAGACAGAAAAGGCAACATTTTGTGGAGGATTATGTCCTGAACAGGAAGAAGGGGCTCCTCCTCCATTAAGTAGAGCTATGTGGACAGAGGGACATCTAAAGGGGAGAGAAGACTTGAATTGTTTGCTGATGTCTCTGAATCCAAATCAACTTTTGAGAGTTGATAAGGAAAATGGGGGAGGGACTGAGGTACAGGAACTTAAACCAGTCTATAAAAAAGAGGAGAAACCAGAAAAACGTGGGAAATGGCAGCATTACCTTTGGGGCCCTATGCTTTGTCAATGACTCCCTTGAGTAATGAAGACACCCACACTGAGCTGCAGTAAATGGGGTCTGACTAGCACAATGTAAAGGGAGACTGTTAGTTCCCTTATTCAGAATCTTATACTTTTACTAATAGAGCCTCAAATTGGATAAGCTATTTTTTTAACAGCTCTTTCATTATGAAAGACTAAGAAAAAGCATTTCTCCAGAAGCTAGGGTCAGAGAAAATTTTGAGTAATTATTACTGCTCAAAAGAATGATCCAGCTATGAAAGTCAGGAATTAATTCAGAAATTGTTGTTTAAGTTGGAAAACTCCCTAAACATTTTCAATACAGAGACAAACACAGCAAGAATTAGTTGAAAAAATGAAGGCCCGGTTCAATGTTTTAAATGTTTGTTGAATGTTAAATGCAGCTTACATAGAAATCCAATAAGGATTTGATATGGATATGCTATTATCGGTGACTTAGTTGGAAACAAAATTGAACTATAGATGGAGTTTGTTTTCCAGAACATTGTTTTAAAATGTTTTGTTCATTCATCATTCTCTGTTTATCCTGCAACTGGCCACTTGACACTTACATTAATTTCCTCGCCGCTAAAGCTATGAGTTTGATATCCTGCTTCACTATGCTCTAAGATCTACCATTCAACTACATCAGATGAAAGTTATAACCAATCGTTTTATCAACCTCAGGTAGAACTGCTTTTACTGAATTGCTATTTTATGTGGAATCATCAGCTTGTATTGCAAGATGCAATAATAAAATGTCTTCATAAACTCTGTCATTTGTTGTGAGTTGTGATTATTGTAAGTACGGTGAGAGCATACATTTCTTTTTTGGGGCCAGTCCCAGTTTACTATGTTGTCCCAGCATAATGTTTAATAGTTCCTCTTTCACTCTCAAAACAATGCCACAAATCAGGATATTGTTCTTTTCTTTATACAATGTTCTCGTTACGAGTTGCTTTTTGACAAACGTTGATCCTATTCATAGGGATTAGTCATATCTGTGGTTATTCTGAGCAATTGAGTACACACACACACACACACACACACACACACACACACAAATGGTGACTCATAACTATTCAGGTATCTCTCTTTAAGTTGACCTCAGAAAACTTAGGGACAAATTTGTCACCTGTAAAAATAAATGTATAACAAGCTCAATGCTATACACTTTTATTTTAATCTCACTTCTTTGTTTATAAATCTTCCTTTTTTTCTCACCCATTTCTAATTTATATCTAGAATTTTATGCATCCTCATTAGCTATCTTAAATTTCTTTAAATAAAGCAGAGAATAGTTTTTGAAACACAAAAACAAGTATATTGTTTCTAGGACTTATCTGATGTTCTTGAATGACAGCTCTTTTTCTGCTTGACTCATACTTCCCATTTTTGTCTATGTCTTTGATCCATGATAAATTTTGAAGAGATTGTCATATTTTGACCAAATTTGTTACATTATAAAGAAATGAAGATATTATACTTCCATGTTGATCTGTGATCAGTCTGCCATCTTAAAACAAAATATAGTTGATAATATATTTTTTTCCAAATTGTTATAACTTCTATGATTGCAGAACTTGAATAGAGAGGTATTCCAGCTCAGTGGGGCGGGGGGGGGGGGGGGGGGGGGGGAGTGGTGAGGGGAGAGGAGCGCACACAAAAATTTGTAATCAGACAAATTTATTTATCTGCCATTTATTATGTAACTTTTGGAAAGTCTGAAGTCTTTCACCTATAGCTTAGATATAATATTACTTCATTCTTAGAGTAAATGGGCCAACATACATAAAATGCCTGACATATAGTTAAATACACAACAAATCTTACCTACCATTATTGTAGTTACTGCAATTTACAAATTATTGTACTAACAGTGAGGATTTTGCATTTGGTAAGATCTATCTTTTATTTCCAACAACAAAAAAGTTTGAAAATTAAACTAGTTATGACTTTTCTACTGGCAGCATAACAAGCTCCATGTTTTTGAAAAGCGTCTCCCATAGCTAAACACCTAGGCACTGGATAAAATGCAATAAACAAATATACTTTTAAATGTATTGGGGAGCTTGAATCCCACTCACCCTAACAAAAAGAAGTAAAATCAAACACTGAGCTGAAATAAGAAAGGTAATTAAATGAGGAACTGTGGTTATGTTGGGGACTTAAGCTAAGAGCAGAAACCTAGAGTTTTGGGTGTTATAAGAATGCAGAAGTCCAAGAAACTAGGTCCCAAAGCCCATAGAAATTGGGCTAATTCTGAGACACACACAGTGAACAAACAGACAATTTGAAGAGGCTGCAGCCTCAAGTGAATGGGTGACCTGGAAAAAAAAATCACCTGCAGCAATGAATAAATAAAATGTGTTCATCATTGTTATAGCTTCAAGAGTAAATAATAAACATAACACAATGTATTACCTATTACCGGTACTACATGGGTCTGGAGGGAGGTGGAATTTATACACATCTTTTGGCCAGAGCCAAGAAATTAAAAATTCCCAGATTGGTAGCACCTCCTGACAACTCAGCAAAAATAATCAGAAATCATTTCTGCATTCTTCAAGCCCCTTAACATGTCCTCAAAATAAATGCAGCCAAATAAGAGTTCAGAGTAAAGTAAAAAAAAATATTTTAAATGCACAAGGGATAACAATGAACAATAGATTTAGACCAGTAAGGACTTCAGATTTTATCATTATGGGATGCAGAATATAAAATAACTAAATGTGAAATGTTTAGGTAAGAGATAGAATTGAAAACATGAGTAAGACAAAAAGGGGAATATCAATATATAACTGGGAAAATTTTTAAAGTAACCAAATACAACTTCTAGGAAGAAAAATATAACCATGGCAGTTTAAAAAGCTATACATAGATTAAACAGTGGATTAGGCATACTAGAAGAGAGAATTAATAAATTGGAAGATAAATCAGAAGGCTTTACTCAGAATGAATCACAGAATTTTATGCAGATGGAATATGTGAACATAAAAGAGACATGAAGGGTAGAAGGAGAAAGAGAACAGAGAAAATGAGTAGAGGAAAATTATTTATATATATATTTTGTGTATATATATACATATATATTATTCTGTTCATTAAATTTCTTATTCACATATATATGGCAGAATTAAGATTTCTTAATTCTTTTTTTTTAAATATATATTTTATTGATTTTTTACAGAGAGGAAGGGAGAGAAATAGAGAGCTAGAAACGTCGATGAGAGAGAAACATCGACCAGCTGCCTCCTGCACACCTCCCACCGGGGATGTGCCCGCAACCAATGTACATGCCCCTGACCGGAATCGAACCTGGGACCTTTCAGTCCGCAGACCGACGCTCTACCACTGAGCCAAACCGGCTTCGGCAAGATTTCTTAATTCTTAATCTTCCAGAATTAAGAAAGCATCATTAGGGGCCCAGTGAATCCCAAACAGCATAAATAAGGAGGAACACACACTTAGACACATTTTAGTGAAATTGCTTTATCCTAACATAGATATATTGGTAGCAAGCCAGAGAAAAGATCACCTTCAAAGGGGCAACAGATTAACAGAAGACTTCTCAACAACAACAATAGGAAAAAAGAGGACAGCGAAATAATATTTTCAAACTGCCAAGAGAAGGTAACATAGAATCGTGTACTCAGCAAAACTCTTTCAAAAATGAAAGAGGAATGTGTCCAGATAAACAAAAACATAGACTTATCAAAAAATCCTACTAAGAATTATAAAAGGATGCTTTTCAGGAAGAAAGTCCAAGTTGCAAGTAGGAAAGACATTAAACTTAAACATTGAATGTAAAAATAACAAAATGAACCAAATAAAAAAATAGGGGCACAAGTTAGTTTGATGTTTCTTTCTATGGGTTTTCTAACTTTGATACTATAATTTTAAAGTTCTAAGCATAAAATATACAAAAAATAAAACATATATGTGTCTGCATGTATCCTTTAGCATGTATGAAAAAAATAATTAAAAAATTTTTTTTAAACTGTCCTTTTTAAATAACTGAAGGTTCAAATTCACGAATCCTTGTTTTTGTTTTTGTTTTTAATCTTTATTGTTGAGATTATTACAGATGTCCCTCTTCCCTCCTTTCCCCACCAGGCTCCCGCTGCGCCCCAGGCTTTTGCCACCCCATTGTCTGTGTCAAAAGGTAATACCTATATGCATATAAGATCTTTGTTTATTCCCACCCCCTCCATCCTCTTTCCCTCTGAGAAGCATCCGTCTGTTGCATTTCAGCAGCTGGGGTTAAGCCTCCGAATGACCTGTGGCAGGACCACAAACAAGTCCCAGGTGGGAGGGCTGAGCCCTCCTAGCATAATTAAGCTTGACCTTATAGTCCTCCCTAGTTCCTTCCTAGGTAGCTAATGGGCTGTGGGTGGTGCAGCAAGTGCTGCCAAACAAGGTGAAACTCGCAAGAACGTTAAACATGTTGACCACTTTCCTGTTTTGCTTTGTGTGATCCGATTATAACAGAAAGCTTGGGCCGGCAGGTTGGGTCACTGTTTCCTCATCCAGGCACAGGGATCCGACCTAGCGCCAGTTGTATTCTCTCCACTGTCTCCTTTAATCCTTCATCACCCCTCCTCAGGCTCACCGAACCCAAACCCGGCCGAGCTGGTGCCGCACACATTTCCATGCCTCTGATTCTATTTTATTCACATTTATTCTATTCATTAGATTTCTTATTCATTTATTTTTATTTTTAGACTCAATTGCTGATAGGTATGTATTTGAGAGTCCTTGTTTTTTTGTGTGTTTTTTAAAAATATATTTTATTGATTTTTTACAGAGAGGAAGAGAGAGGGATAGAGTGTTAGAAACATCGATGAGAGAGAAATATTGATCAGCTGCCTACTGGGGATGTGCCGGCAACCAAGGTACATGCCCTTTCAGTCCCCAGGCTGTCGCTCTATCCACTGAGCCAAACCGGTTTTGGGGAGAGTCCTTGTTTTAAGGAAGTAATAATTCAGTTGTAATGATACCAGCTAGGACAGTAGAAATCAGAACTATTCCAAACCATGGGGAACTAGAAAAGAAGAAACTTATGCAGGATATGTGTTCCCTACAATAGTTTTTCTAGCACATGCTTCTTTTTGAAGACTTTGGTGTTTGTACTCTCTTAAACATGTCTGCATGTATATTAGACCATTAAAAATGTAGTCTTTCAAATGTAAAAAAAACATAGAACATTAATTTTTTAGGACACTAAGCAAAAAGTATAATTTGGTTCCAAAAGTAATCCAGAATGATACACACCACAGTAACTCAGGACTATTATTTCAAACTTGACATAATAGATTCAGGATAGTTAATTCAAGACTCTTTGAAAAATGTGATACGGTAGATACTCCATTTGTGATACTCCATTTGGTATTAGCAAAAACACTTGGCTATTTATCTCTTCGTAATAGGTTTAGATCATTCTTTGTGGTAGCAAAACTGTTTTTGCTTACTCAGCAGGAACTTGAATTGGGGACTTGCTAGAATTTTCTGCTGAATTTTCTTGCTAGAATTTTCTTAAAGGCTTGTAAAATGTGAGGAAGAATCCAAGCATGTGCCTCTGGGTTTTTATCACAAAGTTACATAAAAAGCTCAATAGAAGGGGACTATACAAATACACAGAAATAATTTTTATCTCATATAAAATGACTCATTCATTTGAACATGATACCAGGAGATATTTTTATGGTGACAGGTGCCTACACAGGACATCTGATATATTACGGGACAGAATTTTATTCTAGCATTTTCAATAAAGACTCTAGGTTAAGCTTTCAATGCTCTATCTATAGTAACAGTAAGAGGCTTTTAACAAGCAGGACAATAATAGTAGACAAAAAAAAGAAAAAAAAAGAAAAAAAAGATGGGTATAGGACAGCAATATTCAAGAAATGAGGTGGATACTCTTTCTTCCAGACCCTGACCCTGGCTGCAGCTATTATTCGGGCACCTGGATAACTCTTCAAAAGAAACTCCTTTGAGTCTTCTGAATTTCAGATCTATGATACCGGCAGGTGCGGCAAAAGTAGGTTTAGTGAATATCAGAAACACAGTTCACACTTGTATTAATATTTATTAATTATTGTATTATTTTCTATTCGAACAACTATAGTGAGTGGCCAGATTATGATCTCTGAACACATAATAATCTGGCCACTCAGTGTACCTTATGTATAAGGGAAAGCTTGCAAATCTTGATCAAGGGACCAGGAGATAGTGGCCCCCAGCCTCTGGCTAGTAAGTCCTCTACTTCTTTCTAAATACCCACAATGCAGCTCTTATACATGGAAAAACCTTATTTTAAAATCCCAACTCCATGGTCAGTCTAAACTGAGTGGCCAGATTAATATGTGTTCAGAGATCATAATAATCTGGCCACTCTGATTGTTAAACTTACCTTTGCCCCATCATGTATATTGTGTGATACTCAAAATTCTCATCACAAGGGAAAAAAACTTTTTTTTGTAATTATATGAGGTGATAAATGATAATTAAACATTGTGATAGTCATTTCATAAATCGTCATTATGCTACAGTTTATACTCTGTGTACCTTAAAATTGTATGTTCAACATAAATTGTACTGCATGTACCGTATTTTTCAGACCATAAGACGCTCCGGACCATAAGACGCACCAGTTTTTAGAGAAGGGAAATGAAGAAAAAAAGATTCTGAAACAAATAGTGTCCTAAAATATTTTATGTGCATTAAAACCCAACATCACAGTCATAAACACATGTAATCAACCCTGTAAAGTAAACAGCAGCATTTAGAACCATTTTAGAGCCGGGCAAGCACACAAAGACCACAGAGAGCCCGGCAAGTAAAAAAACTTTTTTTTAAAAGTATATGTGTAGGCTATATTTGGACCATAAGACGCAGGGACTTTTCCCCCCCACTTCTGGGGGGGAAAAAGTGCGTCTTATGGTCTGAAAAATACGGTAATTATATTTCAATGGAACTGAAAAAAAAATTATATGTACAACACAGACTGGAACATTATTCAGCTTTTAAAAAATGGAAATCCAGCCAAAACCGGTTTGGCTCAATGGATAGAGTGTCAGCCTGTGGACTGAAAGGTCCCAGATTCGATTCCGTTCAAGGGCATGTACCTTGGTTGTGGGCACATCCGCAGGAGGGGGTGTGCAGGAGGCAGCTGATACCGTGTTTCCCCGAAAATAAGACATCCTCCGAAAATAAGACCTACTTACAGGTTTCCTTCTGAGTGAAATATAAGGCATCCCCCCAAAAATAAGGGCCCCCCCTAGGCTAAATATGAGAGATTTGGTCCACTGATTCTGAAAGAAATGGAGTCACAAGAAATTCACCAGGAAATTCAGGAATTGGATTGTTATGATGATGTTCCAGAAGATGATGACATGATTGTCATTGAATAAATGAGTAAATTCTTGATACTGTCGGATTCACAGTTTGTCTTGTTTGTGTTGACAACTACTGTACTATACAGGTAATAAATTTCCTTTATTTTCATTTAACAATAAATGTGTACCGTATTCTTCTTCATGGAAAAATAAGACATCCCCTGAAAATAAGACCTAGCGCATCTTTAGGAGCAAAAATTAATATAAGACACTGTCTTATTTTCGGGGAAACAGGGTAGATGATTCTCTCCCATCGATGTTTCTAACTTTCTATTCCTCTCTCTTTCTCTCTGTAAAAAAATCAATAAAATATAAAATAAATAAAATAAATAAATAAATAAATAAATAATGGAAATCCAGCCACTTGCAACAACATCGATGACCCCCAAGGGCATTATGCTAAGTGAAATAGACCAGACACAGAAAGACAATCTCTTAGAAGTATAGAGTAGAATGATTGTTGCCAGGGGCTGGGATATGGGGAAAAGGAGAGATGATCAAAATTTCAGTTATGTAAGATAAATAAGTTCTGAAGATACAATGTATAGTAATACGACTATAGTTAACTATACTGTATTGTATACTTGAAAATTGCTAAGTAGTTACACCTTAAGTGTTCCCACCACAAATTTTTCTCCAAAACTGAATGGTAACTGGAGCATTTGAGAGTTTGCCCTCTGGCATATGTCATCAGTTTAGCTCAAATAGACTACCATAAAAATGTTTAAAAAGAGGAAATGGAAACTAATGAGGTGATTAATATGTTAATTAGGTTGATTATGGTGATTACTTCACAATGCATATGTATATCAAAGCATGAAGTTGGCCCTGGCCAGCTAGAGCAAAGGCCAGGGTCAGGCTCCAAGGGTTGCTGGTTTGACTCTTGGTCAAGGGCATGTAACCTCAGTTGCAGGCTTGATCACTGGCCCCAGTGAGGGAATGTGCAGTCAATGTCTCACATAGATGTTTCTCTCTCTCTCTCTCTCTCTCTCTCTCTCTCTCTCTCTCTCTCTCTCTCTCTCTCAAAACAAGCAAACAAAAAACAAACAAAATAATTGAAAAAATATCCTTGGGTATCTCATTTTTGTCAACTATACCTGGAAAAATGAAAAAATGTTGGAAAAATAAAGCTGGAAAAATGAAAAAACGTTGACATTCAGTATATTAAAATAATATAGCATCTTATTTTATAAAGATACTAGTGACCCAGTGCATGGACTCATGCACATTGAAAGGAAATTAATGAGAAGGTGGCCTGCTGGGCAGATCTGGGCCAGATGGGCCAGACACACCCTGAAGCCAACCTCCCAGGGTCCCTCCTGGGCTCGCTGCACTTGGGGCAGCACCTCAGCAGAGTGAGCAGGGTCCCTCTGGCAGGCGGGGTCCCTCAGTCTGTCCTGCAGGGATCGAGCTGAAACCAGCACTCTGACATCCCCCTAGGGGTCCCAGAGTACAAGAGGGCGCTCTGCAAAGTCACTGCCGTACAGGGTATGGAACGCAAATGCAAGTGTGCAGTAAATCAGATTCGGGGCTGACAGTGCCCCAGCAACAACATAACCAGGGCCAAGGTGGAATTGCACTGCCCCCTGAGGAATCTGGCTCCCTTCTCTCTGGTTTCAGGGTGCATTACCTGAGAACCACCACTGCCAACTCACTGCAGCTCGGCAGCTCCTGAGTTGAGCGTCTGCTCTCTGGTGGTCAGTGTGTGTCATAGCGACTAATCAGAAGGGCGGAGGGACACTTAGCATATTAGCCTTTTATATATATATAAATATATATATACACACACACACACACACACACATTTAATTTGAAAAAAAGAGAAACAGGTTAATCTCTAAAGGCCTGGCTAAGAAAGCAGAAAACATCAGTATGGTACTAAACACAGTGCTAAAACAGAGAAACTCCATATTTGCCAATAACTATTTGGACAAGTCACCATTACATTTTTATGCCTCAGCTTTCCTCTCTTACATCAAAATAATAAGTTCCACCATTTTCTAATTAGTTAAGCATCAATTGTTAACATGTTACTGTTTGAAAGTGGCTCTTATCAGAGTCCCCACAAAAGTACAAAGACCTATGTGTGGCCCTAACTGGTTTGGCTCAGTGGATAGACCATCAGCCTATGGACTAAAGGGTCCCAGGTTCAATTCCAATCAGGGGCATATGCCCAGGGTGTGGGCTCGATCCCCAGTAGGGAGCATGCAGGAGGCAGCCAATCAATGATTTTCTCTTTTCATTGATGTTTCTATCTCTCCCTCCCTCTCCATTCCTCTCAGAAATCAATTTAAAAAAAATTTTTTTAAAGAACTGTGTGAAAAAGAGAGAAACTAAAAGGAGTGAGGAAAAACATCAAATTTGGATTGTACCCTGAACAAAACAGGCTTTCTCTGAAGGATCAGCAAGATTTGAAACAAAAGAAGCCATACAATTGCAAAAACTTTGGAGAAACCATGCACCCTGGAAATGGTAAATCTAGTTTGTTATTTGAGGCACAGGAAGAAAATTGAAGTAATATCTCTGTTGAATGATGTCATCCATTCTATAATTACTGTTTTGGGCGGGTTTTTTTGTTTCTTTTTTTTTTTTTTTTTTTTTTTCTACTTTAAAGCAGGTCATGGAGGAATTTTCAGCTACTGCAGTTTCTTTAGCATGCCACTGAATGAAACTCCTGACATAGGAGGGCAGACGTTCCTGGTTTCCACCTATTATGTGCACACCATGTCATCCACAAAGGGGGAAAAAATAGTCTATTTTAAGAACCCTTTTTAGAACCTTTAAAAGGCATCAGTGTCTTTGAAATGGTGAAAGACTTCTTTGACAAGTAAAACTTCAGCTATGCTTCTTAACCCTTTCCATTATGTCTATGGCAGGTGCTGGAAATTGTAATCTTTGTACGGTAAAGTGATCCTACAGAGCTGATTGCTTACGGAGGAGACTGCCCCCATCCAGTTGCTCCAAAGACAGAGGGGATGGATGTGCTGTAACACCTCTAACTCGTTCAGGCCAGGATATTCTCCAGTATATATGTGGTGTTTGGTGAAAAAAAAAGAAAAAAGAAAAAGAAAACCCTCCATAACCGGTTTGGCTTGGTGGACAGTGTCGGCCTGCGGCCTGAAGGGTCCCAGGTTCGATTCCGGTCAAGGGCATGAACGTTGGTTGTGGGCACATCCCCAGTGGGGGGTGTGCAGGAGGCAGCTGATTTGATGTTTCTTCTCTCTCATCGATGTTTCTAACTCTCTATCTCTCTCCCTTCCTCTCTGTAAAAAAAATCAATAAAATATACTTAAAAAAACAAAAACAAAACAAAACAAAAGAAACAACCCCCCCAAAACACTTTACTCATCTGGAAACCTCATTTTTGATGCTGTGTCATCAAAGCCGCCGTCCTGATGCTAGGAAAGCCAGTGAGCCCTTAAAACAATTTTGTCGAGAATTGTGACACTCTTCCTTACCACGCAGAAATTAGCTGACTTTCCCCAAGAACAATTTCGAAGAGCTTGATTGAATTTCAGACAGACATTTTACTTTTGCTATTGTTTTTAGAAAGAAAACAAAGGTCATTCTAAGAGCAGTATGACAGAGCAAAACATGTCTTCTTTGGTAAATTACTGAGGTAAATTTTTAAATGTTGTTTAAGATTGTTAGGAGGTTTGAGGGAAATAACTGTGTAAAACATCCAGGGATGGAGGTAGCACTTCCACAGCTAAAGTTTGGGGATGCTGATAGAGGGGAGAGTAAGGCAATTTAATAACACTGTACCCATTTTTCTGTAGACTGCAATAAAAACAACAACAACAACAACAACAACAACAAAAGAAACAGCATAAAAAATCTTTAGAAATCTACTCTAATAATCTTAAAAATTGTTACAAATGTTATGGGTGACCTGTGTTGCTATGGCAGAGTCCACCACCCCTCAATGTCAGCTTAACAATCAAGATAAACAGAATCTTTATGAAATTTTGTTTTGAGCAGGATTAAAGCTAACTTTTTGTTTTCTCCAAACAATTTGTGTTGTTGTTTTTTTGTTTTATTTTCAGAATGAAGTTTTTATTTTTTTTGTGAAGAAACAAGGAAGACATAAATCTTAGTGAAGATTTTTAAGTGTTCATTATGTAAGGAAAATCAAAGTTCATCGTAATAAAATTAATGGTATGTGAACATTTTGGTGCATGCTTTATGTACACTTTTTCTGTTTTCATTTGACTCATATGAGGGTTTATAGCCAAGTCCTCCACCTCAAAATTTGTGGGTTAAAATATAGAGTATCAGCTGAAACCAGTTTTGCTCAGTGGATAGAGCGTGGGCTTGTAGACTGAAAGGTCCCAAGTTCAATTCCAGTTAAGGGCATGTACCTTGGTTGTGGGCACATCCCCAGTAGGGGGTGTGCAGGAGGCACTTGATTGATGTTTCTAACCCTCTATCTCTCTCTCCTTTCCTCTCTGTAAAAAATCAATAAAACATATTAAAAATATATAGAGTATCAGAATACTATATTCAGGTCATACAACTCCCCAAAGCCCAATTATTATCAGCACTTTTTTCATATCTTTTAATAACACTTTTAGTGTTGGTATATATTTTTTTAGATTTATGTCTTATTTCTACAACACCTAATATTAAGGGTAGAGAGATGACTTTTCTCCCAGCTTAATTGGCTCTACATGCCAAATTTTTATCTGGTTGCTAGCTTAACTTTTTAAAATTCTATTTTAGGACCAAATAATGCACTGATAACAGTATTGGACTGATCAATACAGTGTGCTAATTTTGCATTTTTGAGAATTTGAATTACAATGGCCATAGATTAGATACTAAACACACCAGACCTACCATGTTTCCCCGAAAATAAAACATCCTCTGAAAATAAGACCTACTTACAGGTTTCCTTCTGAGTGAAATATAAGGCATCCCCCTGAAAATAAGGCCCTCCCTAGGCTCTGTCTCAGAATGCTATTGCTAAACATGAGAGATTTGGTCCACTGATTCTGAAAGAAATGGAGTCACAAGAAATTCACCAGGAAATTCAGGAATTGGATTGTTATGATGATGTTTCAGAAGA